TGACCGCTAACCCCTAACCCCTAACCCAGAGGGCGTGTTCTAGGCTGCAGGGGAGGAGGAACAGGGCAGCCTGAGAGGAGGACGCGGGGCTCGGCGTCACTGCCAAGCTGAGCGACGCTTTGCTCCCAGGTTCAGCAGCTGCCCACACCAGGGGCTGAACGTTCCCAGGAGAGGGGCTCTGGGGCTCAGAGCCACCACACCAGGCCCACAGGGCCTCTGCACGTCCTGACAGCAGACTCGGGTCCTCACGCCCTGATCAGACACCTAGGACACACAGGAAAAGCAGGGACCAGCAGCACACCCCACGCGCCAGTGGGGGGCACTGGGCATGAGACCTGGGCAGGGGTGGTGGGCACCTCAGCCTCTCTCCTCCCCAGTGTTTCTCCCAGACCTCCGCGTCCAAGGGAACGCGTTAGCCCAGCCCAGTGGTGCACGCCTGCAAGCTTAGCACTCGGAGGCTGAGGCAGGAGGGCTGATGCCAGCCTGGGCAACTTAGCAATTAGCAGAGCTGGGGGTGTAGCTGGGCAAAGGCCCTGGCTTCCACATCAGGCTCTGTGAGCAGAATGGAGCCTATCTCAGGGGCAGGGAGGGCACTGCCTCTTTTGTCTTTCAGACGGGGCCTCCTAGCTTGGGTCCCCACAGCCCTTGGCCTCTGGGTGACAGGTATGGGCCTCCTCCGCCACCATGGCAGAGCCGCTCGCTGGCCCCAGCTCTGCTGACTGCGGAGGGGGGCATGTGATCCGGCCTGGCGGTCAAGCAGGCAGGAGCGGGTGTCTGAGGACCTGGGAAGGTGGACAGGGCAAGCACAGCCTCTGCTGCAGGGTCCCACAGCTCCAACACAACAGAGACAAAACCAACTCACCCCTTGGCTTCCTTGAAATCGGATCGATGGTCTCAGTGACACAGAATCCTACGATTAAACAGAATGGGAAAATGTCAACAGAGTGAGAAATCCAGGCAAACTTCCAAGCTACACATGGAGCAGGATGGGGACACTGTCTCCAGGGGAAGCAAGAAAACTGTGCATTAACCATGTGCCTAAACGCTTCAAGATGGATCACTGAAGGTGGGCTTTGAAGCATCAATAGGAGTTCCTATGAAAGACACAAGGCTGGGGTTTTATAAGGGGCAAAACCAGGGCCTCAAGCCAGGCATCCTTGATGGAGAGACTGGCAGTGGGCCTGGGACTTGGGTCAGAAGTCCAGGCCATGTCCTCAAGGCTGTCACTGGGCCAACTTCCATGCGAAGAAGGAATACGGGCAGAACTCAGCTGGGAACAGGCACAGCAGGAGGGGTGACCAGGCACACAGCCCCTTCAGTCCCCACGAAGCCAGCAGCCCGGCTGCCTCCTCCCTCACAAGCACCCTCCAGATGGCAGTTGGGCTGCAGGCATGGGGACAGGCGGGGGACAAGGCCGCAGCCACCACGCCTGCACCTGGGCAGGGCCACAGCCCCACCTGAGCCTTTCTCCCAGGCCGAGCCTGGCCGTGCTGCTGAGCAGAAGGATGGGTAAATGGACCCAGGCTCTGTTAATCTGAAGGGTTGGGATGGAACCCAGGCCTTTTAAAATTTTTTATCCTGAGACAGGGTCTCTCTAAATCACTGAGTTGCCCAGGCTAGGCTCGAACTCAAGAGCCTCCTGCCTCAGCCTTCCAAGTACTGGGATTGTAGGTGTGCGCCACCGCACCTGGCTGTTAGCCATTTTTAACACGTGAGCAAGAAGTGGGCAAAAGGAAACTGGCCAGGGACACAAGGTCCTAGGGCAGGAGACAGTAACACAGCAGTTCTGCCTGCTGTTACCCAGAGCCCGGGGAGAGGGCACGGCACTGGTCTCCCAGCCCAGGGAGCTGGGGTCTGACAGGAAGGCGGGCTCCTGATGTAGGAACAGCAGTTACGACGCCAGGGCACGGCTAGTGATGTCAAGGTGCGTCACGACCCGGTGTCCCCACACGGCCAAGCTGGGGCAGCCATGAGCAGGCACGGCCAAGAGGTGGGACAGAGCCAGGAGGCCAGCGTGCGGCAGGGACAGAACCTCCCACGGCTCCGGAAGCCTCCCTGTTCTCAGCCCCGAGGGTGTAGGCTGCGGAGAGCTGGCCTCAAGTGTCCCTCCCTGCACAGGCCGCGGCCTGCCGGTCCGCACATTGGTGGGGCTGTCCCCACACGTGCGTGCACATGCTCACACACACAGCTCACGTCCTGCACGCCGCCTATCCGCCCTCAGAGATGGTCGCCCTGGCCAGCCGCTGGCAGCAGACTGGGCACCACCTCGAAGACATGGGAACAAAGGGAGGGGCGTGGTGGGTGTCCCCGAACGCACTCGGTGACTGCAGCACTAGGCACCCACCCCACAAAGGCAGCCCTGTCTGCCGCACACCGTTCCTGGTGTGGAAGACGCCATTGCCGCGCCCAGGAGGAGGCCTGGCCGAGCCGGGTTACCCTGATGTCCCAGAGTCCAGGACACCCCGCCCCCCTGTCACCAACTCCCAGCTCAGAGGCCAGGCCAGCAGCGTTTAATGACGGCACAAAATCAAGGTCCCTGCAAAGTGGGAAAGTGGAGGTTCGAAAGCAGGCTTTCTGGAGAGCTCTACTGTGCGCTGAAAGGACTCCTGTGTGCTGGGCCGGGGATAGCAACCCTAGCACCTGACATTTAGCGGGCAGGGAGAGGGGTGTTTGCTGGGCATGGGCCCCTTTCTTCGAATGAAATAAAGTTTCTGTCGTCCTGAATAAAGCCCCCGGTGTAACTGTGCAGCTGCTGCTTGACTCTGCTTTGCGTGCGCTGTCACTTGTCACTGAGGACTCCCAGGGTGGAGCCGGCAGGGACACAGCCCGTCCTGCCCCAGCCCTGAGGGGTGCAGGGTCGTGACCTGAACAAGCCGGCTGCCTCCCCGCACGGCCAAGACCCGGGAGTCACAGACACGCCCACTGCCTTAGCACTGGCACCGGGCACGGTGCCTGGCACACAGCGGGCTCTTCTGTGTGGGGAGCTGTGCTGAGACCGAGCCCAGGGTCTTCGTGCTGAGCCGCAGCCGCAGCCACTGTCATTTTTTGAGTCACAGACTCACTAACTTGCTAGGTGGCCCAGGCTGGGCTCAGACCTGCAGTGCCCCTGCCTCAGCCTCCTGGGATGCTGGGATTGTGGGCGTGCACCACCAGCACACCCAGCTCCAGCCGTGGCTTTCTAGCAATGGACTTAGAGGCCCAGGCTGGAGGTGCCTAAGGGAAGGAAGCAACTGCAGGGCACCCCACCTGCAGGCTGGCTCCTGGGGGAAGCTCGCCGTTCACAGCTGGGGAGCACATGGGCACTGGAGGAAGACGAGGGGCTGGGATGCGCACCCCAGGCCCTGAGGAAGAGGGAAGCAGCTGGAAGCATCCAGGGGGGGCTTCTCTCAACTCCACTGCGGCGCGGGCTTTCAGGAGAAGGGGGACGAGGAGACCGAGCCCAGGACCAGGACGCGAGCGCGAAGAGGTGGAGGTGGTAGAGAGGCCGGGGAGCAGGGAGCGAGGGCTCTGCAGCAGCGGTCGGGACCCCTGGAGCTGGCGAGAGAGGCGAAGGGGCCGCGGAGCACAGCTCGGGTGGAGGTGGAATCGGCGGCCGGAGAAGCTGAGGGAGCGGTGCAGCCTGAGGTGGAGACAGGGACCACAGCGAGGGCGCCGCCAAGCGCTGCCACCTCCCCACACAACAGGGCTGGTCCCGTCACCG